TGCTGGTATAATCCTTGCTGGCAAATGGTTTCTGAGGTATCCACGCTCCAGGTCAACAACACCCACACCAGAGCTATTGCACAGTACCCTTTGCCCAGGGCTCTCCTAGAAATACTTTGCAGACTGAGGAGGCAGAGGTCACCAGGGCTGCAGTTGGAGTTCTGATCCTTCTTCACCTTCCTGCAAGTAATTCTCTGGCTATTGCTGTTGTGCATGTTAGCAGGCAGGGCCTTTAAACCTGACCTTTCTCAGGTTGTGAAGGACAAGTGCTGGGTTCCTGGCAGCCTGGGACAGGCAGCTCTGTTCCTTAAAGGGGGCAAGTAAAACCCAGAAAAAGCACTTAAATTATCCTGAAATGGCAGAACTTGTATCCACAAGAGGCTGAAAGTGTTGGAGGAAAAAAAAAAAAAGTGAGATGATACACTGCTCAGAGTGAAAAGTTACTCTCTGGATGCTGCATTTCTCCAGCCCAAATGCTCCTACTCCTGTGCACAGTGTGGTGCCAGGGCAGGAGTGCATCGATTCCCTGCGCGGCTCTGGGCAATGCTCTCAAATTTTTCTGGGCTTTTTGTTTTTTTTACTGTGTGCAACCCAGGATGAACACATTTCTCTCCAGGGTAATTAATGAATTACAAAGTGCTTTGATGCCTTCAGAGGGAAAGTGCTAGCCAAGGGAGACCACAGTTGCCGCAGGAGGGAGATGTAAGCCCTGTCCAGCCCAGGACGCAGCCGGGACCTGAATCTAGCAGGGATCCGGGCAGGTTGTTGAAGGCCACTTGGGTGAAACCTTCTGTGGGTCTGGGACCTTAATCAGCACTTAAACTCTATGCTAACACCCTAGGCAGATAAGGAAATGCATGTGAAACCCTGCAGGCAAGCTGTCACGAAGGAAAGCAAGTGGAGAGAGAGCAGCGCTCGGAGGGCAGCTGCGGCACTTGGCACGGTGCGTGCTCCCCGTGATACAGGCTGGCCCTCTCGTGCTAAGTGAGTGTTGCTGGCTCGATCCTGTCCTGCAGCCCAGATATGCTTCAGGGCTCTTCAAAGGGATAAAGATGTATTTTTAACTTCAGGCAGCTGCCTTTTGTGTATGATGCTTTTTTCTTCTTGTAGCTCTGGAAGTGGCAGGTTGTTTTTAAAGCCCCTCTGTTTCTTGGCAGAGATGTCTAGAGGTCTCAAATCAGATTCCCGAAAAATTTCAGCACTGGAAATTGGTAGCCGCTTTTGAAAATGTTGGCGAGACTGTGCAGTTCCCTACAGATGTTAGCTGATGGTCATTTGAAAATGATTTCACCTCAGCCAAGTCCTCGCCCCATTGAAGCCAATGGGAATTTTCCTTGAAAAAGGCCATAAAGAAATTGTGTTCTTGGCATGGAGAGAGGTGTTTCATGGTCTCCACATCAGCATTCAGGAGAACGTCAGCTATCTGCTTTGATTCCTGCCACGCTTGTCCCACCCTGCACAAAGTGCTCTACCTTTTGATCCAAAATAGAACAGGAGATGTTTTCCACATGCCACAGGAAAATGGAAGAACTATAAAACTTAGTTGTTTTGGAGCTTGGCAACTCTTCATTCACAGATATATTTAGCGTGAATTGAAATTGGTCAGCAAAAGGGCGTTTGCCAGGATGACAAACGGATTAGGGTTGTGTATCTGAGGCAATTGCATACCTGCCCATCCCATGCCGGTGGGGTTGATGGGTGGCTTAATTGGTTCATGGATAGTCATAAGCAAGCATGAACAATTTGCTTCTTTTGGGCAGTGTTAAAAAGCATTATCTGGCTATAAAAGGTATTGTTTGGCTCATGACATGCTCTGTTCTCCCAGCCTTGAGGCCTGATGTCTCCACTCTCGTCATTACTACCTGTCCTGTTTGGTCTTTGAAATGTTGGTCTGTCATGCCTGGTGCTCAGCCTCCTTCTGTGCATGCAGCTTGTCCATGAAGGAAATCCTGGTGCTTTGCACATGAGGCTAGTTTCTTCTGTCCTGACTCCATTCCCCAGTGACTGAGCCATCGCTGCAAGCCCCAGGTCAGGAGAGCTCTTCCTAAGAGCGGCACTGGGTTTGGGAGAGGGAAAACCAGGGATGGGGCTCTGGCGTCAGCCCAGCTTGGCAGCAGGGCAAGGGCATGGCTAGCTGTGGCTGGCTTGGCCTTGGAGCAGAGAGCGTGCAGTCAATAGCAGCTAGACCTTCCTGGCCTCTGCTCCAGGCTTGCTCCTGTGATGGTGCTCCTGGAGCCAAGACCAATCTCTCCTGTCCCTGGGTGTGTTCATGCACATGGGCTTGCACACTCTGCTCCCATCAGTGGTTTTCTTTGGGCTGATATTTGTTAGCATTGGAAAGTGAGAAAAATGAGCAAAAATATTATCAGAAGCAGGTTTTGTGAATGAATCAGCCGACAAGAGGCTTACCAGCTCGCCTTCATTTACTAGCTCAGTGCTTATTTGGGCAGATGTCTATATATTTTAGTTGGAGGCAGGAAGAAATGAGAACCCATGGGGGAAGGCACTGCTTTGTTTGCTGCTTCTCTGTTAGTTTGTACCATCAGTTTTTTGAATGAAGCACGGGACTGCAATGTGTCTGACACGCTGCCCTGAAGCTGCAGTTCTTCTGCTGCTCTTGGTGGCTTGGTGGGACATGAAGGAGACAAGCACAGAAGACTGTCAGAAGGCTAAAACCCTCCTAAGCAGATTGTTGAGGATCAGAGCCTAGCCAGCCTCGACCATCTCTTGCATGGTGCTTTTTTAATTTAATCCTGTCTGAAGGGCGGCTTCATGGCCTTCTCTCTTCTCACTATGTGTTTCTAATTAATGGGGAGACTGGTGTATAAACAGAAGATTCCTGCTCAAAATATTCTTTGTCCGGCTCCTAGGATGACAGCCAGATGGCAATCGCCAGGCAGCAGCCCAGACTCTGAGCTTGTCCATCTGGCTATCAGGCTTGGTCCCAGTGCTCATCTGGAACCAGTATTGGGGAAAGTCAGTCGTGGACTTTGCCAGATTGGTTTTGCCCAGTGTTTGCTTTTCGGTTGCTACCTAAGCAGCTAAAACCTGCAGACCAAATGCATTTAGTATTTCTGGGAAGTGGGACAATCCCAGTAGTGGGAGATCGGAGGCCAAAATGGTGAGGAAGTTCAAAGGGATATCAGACAAATCCACTGAGGTATGGGTGTATGGGTCTCTTGGTGGCTTTTAAATCCCGTGGGTCAGATGCAGTCTCCAGATGTGAAAGTGGTTTTACTGCTGGTCTGCCGCACCAGTTGGGAATGGTCCTCGTGACATGTGTCCCCAAGCAGCTGCTGATGGTCTCTTGTGGATGGCATGCTGGGCTGGCGTGGCTCTTTGATCCAACCTGCTTGGGCCGTTCTCTTGCCATTAGTCTACAGGCAGCCTACGCGTTTGCTGAGTAAATTCAGACAAAACTCTTCTTGCAGTTTTCCCCTGTGTGAAGCTGGGGTTCTAAGACCTGACGAGGGCTTGGAAAGCTGTGGCAGAAATAAAACACTTGCTATTATGATTTTTCACTCTCTGTCATGACAGTAGAGCTATGCCCTGACAAAACATCATGATGTAGCTTCTGAAAAAAGGAAATGTTCAAACCTGTGAATGCTCCAAGAAGCAGGAGAGATCCATAAATTAAGCATTGTTACGAGCTAAAGCATTCCTTGCACTCCATTGTGCACAGCTTAATATGGCTTTTTTACTTCTATGTAAGTGCCTGAGTTCTGGACTGCTAGAAAGCTGAAATCGGAGGTGCTGGAGAGCGTGCAGATGTTGGAAGGTTGTGTGCTGGAGTTCGTCCTTGGCATATGCTAAAAGACACTTCACGTTTGTCACCACGGTAGGATGAGAGTGGCCTGGTCTGTCGCTGGTATGGGACCTGTGGAGCTGCTGCAGGGCTTCTATATACAGAGATATACTTAGCTGGGGTTATTGTGGTGAGAGGTGATGTGCGTGCATGGACTGAATCATAATTTGGGCTGTAAAGGATCTCTGGAGGCCTTGGTCCAAGTCCCTGCTTAGAGCAGGTCCAGTTTCAATGTTAGATCCAGCTGCAGTGTTAGGCGTGCTTGCTCAGCCAGATCAGACCAGGCACCAGGGAGGGGTCAGCTGCCACCTTTTGGGCTTTTGGAGCAAGCAGGAGGAATGAAGTTATGTCTTCATTGCCACCACAGAGTCCAAAGGGACTGGCATCTGCAGCGTTGCAACCATCGTGTCCTGCTTTGGCAAGGATTGCTCTCTGACAGAGCACCCAGTGAACTGGGAAAGTCCCCAAAGGGAGTGGAGGAGGTGGGAAAAGTCCAGTGTTATCCCCAGATTTCAGCTAACTGATTTTGAAATGGCTGAATTAGCTGAGGGTCTTGTGGCTTGCAGCAGTGGCAGAGTTGAGCCCACAACACGTGGGACTGTTCCACAGTCCACAGAAGTGGCCAAATGCAGAAGTAGGCAGAAGCTAAATGAGTAGTGCACTGTAGGACAAACGATGTGAAAGACGATATGGCAAGGATGATCACTGAAATGACAGGATCTGAGGGAAATGAGGCTGGCCATAAAACAGAGGCAAGGTATTTTTGAAAGCAGGCCTGAGAATTTATTTTAGCATACTAATATTGAGTAAGTATTCCTGGAGATACTCTGGGGGATGATAGATGGACTCAAGGTATTGTTACTAATCACTGCGGTTTAAAGTTTTGGAGCCGACATTCACTTGGCATCCTTAACCCAACTGGACTTCTGATGGGAAAATTACATTCTTCGGGAAGTAATTTAGAAGGTCAAAGAAAAACCAGAAAGAACTTCTCCAGCAGCGATTTCCCCTTCTCTCTAAACTGTCTTTTAGTGTGGTAATAACTCCAGAATGAAAGGATCTATTCTCACCTTCCAGATGAAAGGGCTAATGCAATTTAAAATTTTTGCATGCAAAGATTTTTATGGGTTGGTAACTGGCCACTCTTGAAAGTGATCCAGGATGGGATGAACACGTGAGAGAGTGCCTGTCTGAGCTTGACCTTTTCCTTGTCTGCCCTGTCTCCTGCAGATAATGGCGATGACCGGTCTGACAGCATCCTTGCTGAGAACCATGTGGATGGCACTCCGGGGATTCTGAGCGGAGCTGGCGGGAGGAAGCCCATGAAGTCGGGCATGAAGGAGCTGGCAGTTATGAGGGAGAAGGTGAACGAGCAGCAGCGGCAGATGGGCAAAGTTGGGAAACCCCATCACAACCACGAGGACTCAAAGAAGTCACGGCTGTCGACCGGCAGGGTAAGAAGGCAGGGGGGTGTGGGGAGCTAAGTCAGGCAGCTGTGGGCTCGCTGGGAAATGCTGAATGCAAAAGCCTTAGTGACATCTGCAACAAACTGTCTTAAAAAATAAAAAAAAAAAAGAAAAAGTGGGGAGAGAGGAAAAAAGGAAAAGCAAACATTTGTTTTGGCCTGAAGCTGTGGCTGAACACACCATCTGATGAACTTTGATGTGCTGGCAAAGAGGCGTTATTTTCATTGCAGTTTCACCTCCTGACATCAGAGTTGGGGAAGGGGGGTCCCGCTGGCTCAATACCTACCCCCGCAGGGGTGCGAGCATGCCCTTTGCCTGCAGACCCGCTTTCTCACACCCTTTTTCCCTAAGCAAGTGCCAGGGATGGCCCAAGGGGATTTGGGAGGTGGAAGGGTGTCTGCCTGCATCAGGACAGCCTCAGTCCAGGTTGAAGGGGGGTCCCAGAGCCCCCGAGGGTGGGCTGTGGGGCTGTCACATAGCAGGGAGAGTGCTCGGAGTCCTCCTTGTCCCCTTGTTCCCTGCGTCTGTTCTCCAGTCCTTGGCCGTGGTTTCCCTCTAGCGGGCAGCTTGGTCAAGGCAACTAGAGGGGACAGGGATGGAAAGCCACCCTAAAAGGTCCATAGTACCTATCTCTATAAACCTGTAGGGTATTTTTATCTGGGGAGTGCCAGGACAGAGAGGGGCTTTAAAAGAAAGTCCTCGTCCCTTCCAAGGAACAGGCAAAGCAGAGGTTCAAAATAAGATGCAGGCACTGTCAGCTTAGAGAGCTCCCAGACCACTGCTGCTCCTTTGGGGAAAAAAAACCGGCAACTGCAAAAACAGAGAGGTGTGAATTCACTCCGGCTCACGTCAGGCATGATTCGGCCAGGCTGCCTTGGCTGGGAGCACTGGCTTTGGGCTGCTGTGGAGCAAGAGGGATGTCTGCAGAGGCTGGCTTTTCTGGGTCCCCTTATTTCTGGGGCTTTCCCTCCACTGTTGTGTGGTCTTGCGTGCTTTGAGTTGCACTTCTGAGACAAAACGGCATCACAGGTGTGGGATCTGGGCTATGCTTGTGGAAAGTCTCCTGGTCTTGTCGGGATTAGTCCAGCTTCACATCACTTGTCGGCACCACTGGGAGCCATGGGAGCATCTCTGAGGCTTCTCCTCTGTGCCTTCAGGGCCTGTGACCTTGTGTCATGTTGGCTCTTGGTCACAGGAGGCACATGGGAGAGATGTGTGTGTCTCCCTGTGGGGATCTGTGCATATCAGCCTGTGTGGACATGCAGCACTCTGATTTCGGGTGTCTACAGGTGGTCTGCAGCGGGACCAGTGTCGTGAGGAGGTGCACAGAGGTGTTCATCCCTATTGGTGTTTCTGTTCAGAGCGTTGACGCTGAATGGTCCTGTTGCCCTGATTTTTTGTTTTGTTGTGTTTTGTTTTCTGCTTCCTGGGCTCTTTTCAGACGCCTTGTCAGCAGGAGCTGGATCAGGTCCTGGAACGCATCTCTACTATGCGGCTGCCAGATGAACGAGGTCCCCTGGAGCACCTCTACTCCCTCCACATCCCCAACTGCGACAAGCACGGCTTGTACAATCTGAAACAGGTAAGTGGGGAGACCCAGAGCCCTCCCAGCAGCAGCCCTCGCTTTAACAGACATCCCCCATCTGCAGCCATGGGGCCATATGCAGCTCAGGGCTGGGCTGATGTCACATAGGTGGTGCAAAGTGTGGGGTAAATGACAAACATCACACGAGGCATGGAGAGAGGTTAGTAACATGCAGGTGCATCTGCAGCCATGGGCTAGTAATGGAGATGAGACCCACACCCATGCTTGGCTGTGGGCAGCCCAGAGATAGAGTTTAGTTCAGAGCCCTTCCTTCTTCTGAGAGCTGCTTATTTGTCCAGGTCTGCTTTTCATGTGCTCTGAGACAAGTCTTGTCCTGGCTGGGACCTGCTACAGGGAAAAGCAGAGAGGAGCTGAATGCTGGCCAGTCTTGCAGACAAAGCAGAAAGCACTTCTTCTGGGGTCAGGAAGGTTTCTAGTACACTTTACTGGTTTTCCTCCACAAATTGAGGCCAGTCCCACAGCTCCAGGAGGGATTCCTTCCAGATGAGGTGGGACTTGGGTGAAGCATCCTTCTGAAAGTATTTACAGGGCCCAAAAGGACTCAAATGTGTGTCTGAATTTTGACTTGTTGGCTTCATTTATGTAAAACCAGCAGGTGTCAGCAGCTGAGGAATGGGGAAAAAAATGCCAGTGAAACCTCTTGGTCAGCAAAACATTAGCTTGTCCAGGGTTGACTGGCAGCCACATGTGAATAGTACCTGGATATGAGCACTTCTTACAGTTATGTGTAACTGAGCCTTTGGAGGGGACCCCAGAAAAGCTCCTGTTTTCATGACTATCCCTTTTTCTCAGGGCTATTTCCACCCCTTGATCAGGAGCATTAACAAAAAAAAAGGTATTAAAAGAAGTAGGATGCTCTGAGATAATCTCCCTCTGTCGCTTCTCTCTTCCCTGTCCCCCCTGGACCCTCACCCTC